ATATGAAGTTAAATACCTTTCAATGTTATGAGATAAAACTCTCTTGGTCATTATTGACTTGTTGAGATAACTCATGGTCATTTTTTCCTCGAAGGAATCAAATCATGGGCCATGCAATATCCTCGAATGTTTTGGTCTAACTTTAAATGAATTATTGGGTTTGTTGAGATAATTCAAAGACTAACGAATTTATAGGTAAAGATTGGTAATCATATAAGATATGAGATGACAATGAGTTATCATGCCAATGAGATTAGAAATTACATTGGATGTAATTGGTAAGGAGTTACGTATCTAATCCTTTATATACGACTTGTTAAGATAACTTAAGGTTAATGCACATTAGAGGATGGAATCCTAAACTATGATGGAAAATGAATCGAAAAGTTTTTTCAAGTCATAAATTGAAGGTTATAGAACTTAAAAAAAATAGTAAGAGTGGACATAGATTTTACTTCTTGATTTATACTTCGTTTTATTAATGTAATTCAATTAATTGAATCATATGCTTTTTTATCCTATCAAGGTTGTTACATAGTATGACTAACAATACATCGATACGATTGTTTATTAATGAAAGTTATTCCTTGAATGACACAAACTTCCTTGATTGGAAATGAATATAAAGAATATCCTCTAACATGAAAAAAATGCTCTATATAATAAAGAGAAAGGATCTGCAAGAAGAGGTGCAAAGTAAGAGTTCTACAAGCAACTCTAATGTTTATTTTATTAAAGTGAACTTTTCTACTTCTAGTCTTATATCATGTTTATTTAATACTTGATATGATGCATATATTTATATAAATTTAAAAGGACTAAAATAGTTAAGAAAGATTTCTTCATGGGAGGTTGACCTATGTGTTGGTCATGGTTTAAGAGTTGTACCATAACAGTGGGCACCTATGAGTTAGCATCGTCATCCGGGCTTGTTCTTAAACTCAAAAACTATTATATCCTAGTATAATTGAAAATATCATTTTCATTTCTTCATTGGACCAAGATGGTTTTTTATTTTTATTTAATAACAAAGGTTTTTGATTTTATAAAGATGATGTTTTATATAGAAATACTAAAATTAATAATGGTTTATATGTTTTGAACATAGACACTTATTTATAAAATAAATACCAAAAGACTCGAAACAAATAATCTAAATAAAACATATCTATGGCATTGTCAACGTACCTATATAAATGAGAATCACATATCTAAACAATATAAAAATAGATATTTAGAATTATTTGATTATAAATCTTATGATGTTTATGAGTCATGTCTAATTGAAAAAAATGACAAAATCTCATTTTAGTGGAAAAGGTTTATGAGTCATGTCTAATTGAAAAAATGACAAATCTCATTTTAGTGGAAAAGGTGAAAGGGCTACCGATTTGTTAGACCTTATACATAGTGATGTATGTGGGCACATGCCCACCTAAGCAAGAGGAGGACAAGATTAATTCATAACCTTTATTAATGAAAAATCGTGTTATGGTTATCTATATTTAATGAGGCACAAATCTGAATCATTTAAAAAGTTCAAAGAATTTAGATTTGCAATCAAGAAACAAATTAGCAAAAGTATTAAGGCATTTTGATAGATTGAGGTAGTGAATAATTAATTAGTGAATTTTTAGGTCACTTTAAATAGAATATGATTCTCTCTCAATGGACTCCACCTAGAACACCACAAATGAATGTTATGTCCAAAAGGAGAAACTAGACACTATTAGATATCGTTTGATCCATGATGAGTTCAACCGATATTCCTATTTCATTTTAAGGATATGCACTTCTTACTATATTTTTATTTTGAACGGGGCTTTAACAAAGTCTATTGATCGGACTCCATATGAGATATGGGAAGGAAAGAAAGTCTATTTATCTATCCCGAAGATTTGGGGTTATGAAGAATATGTTAAACATTTGGATGGAGACAAGTTAGAGCCCAAATCAACGAAGTGTAAAATTGTGGGATATCCAAAAGATACAAATGGATATTATTATTACCAACCATAAGAAAAAAAGATGTTAATGGCTAGGTATATTGTATTTCTTGAGAAGGAATCTATAGATGCTAGATCCGAGTGGGAGGAAAGTTTAACTCAATAAGATTTGAGAAGACCCACAAATTAACACTCCACTAGAGGAACCCTAAGTAGATAGGTTACAAAGCATTGTAACTTTCCCATAAACTGTAGAGTATCGTGTAATGTGCTTTGATATATGCCTAAGCATTTTCTCAATTATCCGAATCTATTTTTATGTTATAAAACAAAAGGAAATTGAAGAAAATGTTTTATAGTGATTTTTTTTAATGAAATGGATGATTATTAAAAAAAAAGTTAGCAAAGAGCTAGCGAATAGATTATAACCAAGTTAAAAAAAATTATTAGACCTATACAAAATCATTAGACCAAAAACTTTTAATACTATTACACTAAGCAATTTCCTTTTTCATCCCCATTTCTCCACACCCCCATATCCTACTATAAATACCACCATCTACTCAATAAATATCTCACAAAAAAGAATAAAAAATTCTACAAGCATTAGAAGAATCAAGCAACCTAAACCATTTTTTATTCTTCTCATATTCTTCCAAAAGATCCAATAACAAACAAGAGAGAGAGAGAGGGAGGGATTTCGGAATCATGGATCTTGATGCATTACTCTTCAACGCTCTCTAGCATATGATGGATGGAAATGATTATGAGGCAATTGGGTTTTCGGAATCATGGGAAGGATATGCGTATAGTACCCTTTTTATTTTTTTCTCCTCCTTGTAACAAATTTATCTATGTTTGATATCACTTGGATTTTTGGACACCATATCGAAGCTAATTTAGGATTATCAAAGCCGACTTTTACAACGCTATTAGATATAATATGTAAACTAGGCAAATCTTGATTACTATTTGGTGTTCTTGGTGATAGGATCAACAAAAGCCTCTCTATAGTTATGAAATAAGGCTAAAATAGCTCTCCATGAAAATAATATTTGGTCTTAATCTCTCTCAACCAAAACTAATATAAAAAAAAAAAAAAATGAAACCAATAGGATGAACAAAGATATGATCTTAATTTAACCAAAACCCAAAAACTAAAACATATCAATCTATAAAAGACTCAATTTTTCTCTAAATAATATTCAAAAGAAAAAGCAATCAAGATATCAACGGACACGAAGGAAAATCATCCGCAATGGAATGAAAGAAAAATTACTCGTGATGGGATTAGACCTTGGCGTCTCGGATTCCTAGTAGTTTGTTGATGATGATGGGGTGAAAGCAATGATAATGGAGAATATCTTTTTTGTTTCACTAATGGGAATAGTAGACATTGTTTTTCGGTTGATTTGTGTAGTTAAAGTTATAAAAATATATAATGGCTATATAATCATATTTAAAAAGTTTTAAAAATCTTTCAATTGAGCGTGTTAATCAAAAAGTAATAATTTAAAATTTTTAACTTACCGGATTAAGTAAATTTTGACTCGAACTTAAATTTTTAATATGAGATTATTTAGGTTATCAAACAAACTTTTTATATTAAGTACTACAATTTAATTTTGTAAGCTACTTAAATAGGTTATCAAACACCTCCTAAGTTAACAGAGTTGATCAATCGAGTCTCTAGGATTTGATGTAGATTTGTTAATACTACAAATTTGTGAGAATAGTAAAATAAATTAATTCTAGTAAATTCATCAAGCATCAATTTGTCAAAAGCTGATTTGAAGACATTTGATGTTTTGTTTTCTTTCGTTTCGGTAATTTTCTCCCAATGGTTTTATAACTCATGTGAGATCATTTTTCTTTGTTTCAAATAAATTTTCTTACCGATTACCTTTTTCATTTTATAATTGTTATCGACCTAGCCTTTTTTATTTGTGAACGAGTTTTCAAATGATTTTTTCAATTTGTTGTTAAATTTTTTTTTATATGTTTTTGTCTCTATATTGTTTGTATAGCAAAAAGACTCGTCAAGTTTTATGGAATGAGGGATATATTTGTTTATTTATTTGTTGTCAATAATTTTTGATATCATTTAGAAGGTAAAGTTTATTTTATTTTATATTGAGAAGTCACTATTGAGTAAATTGATGATTGTCATTATTAGTATATGTTAGATATCAATAGACTAGAAAACGTGTTTTTATTTATTAAACACATCATTTGTCTTTTTCGATTGGTGGGGATTAGTATGGTCCTTCACGCTATAACCAAATAGGACCTTCCTCTAGAGTACTTTTCTTTTATGCATTTTGCCCATCCATAATACGGACTTGATTTCGTCCGCTTAGAGTTTGCATGTGCGCACCACATGAAAAAGGAGGAAAAAAAAAAAAACCTTTGATATATCCACCAGTTAATCTTTATAAAAAATTTTAAAATTTTAAAATTGTACATGTATCATCCAGAAATATCAGCTACAAAAAGACTCGTCAAGTTTTATGGAATGAGGGATATATTTGTTTTGGCTGGCATTTGGATGTCTCATTTCCTGCTGTTGAAAATTTGAGTATGACCCGCAATATGCATTTTTTACTTGTTTGTTTTTGGTTTTTCTTCTTTGATGTTCCTTCTTCGTTTTCCTTTGGCCATATTTCCTTTATGGCCGAGGTCCTGCTTTTATATTTTCATTAAAAATATTAACCACATCCATAAAAAGGAAAAGGGGAAAAAAAAAAAGAGGGAAAATGGATCGATTAAAACCAAAGGCATTCATACCTTTAAAATATTTATGCAAATTAACTGCAATATTGTTGGCCCGACAAAGCATATATATCACAGTAGCATTACATTACAAAAAGGAGTAGAGTACTACCGTAAACTAGCTCTCAGCACAACTGCACAAAGTAGCTGTAGGCTCAATACACTTGCACATCCGACACCTAGTATGCCGTTTATAATATTATTACTAGCTAGTAGTAACTAAAACACGTTTCCTTTATTTGGTTAGTGCCTGATGCGTAGCTAATTAAGCTAGTTCACCGATCAAACCCATAATGCTCCAGCACGTTTAAGCATTGGGATTAAGGAACGATTAAGGTGAAGACTCATCACCTCATTGGCTCCACCCACAAGTTCACCACCAATGAACACAGCTGGCAATGTTGGGCATCCAAGCCTTGACAGTGCTTGCTCAATTTCCCTTCCTCTAGGCATCTCATCAAGCTCATGGACAGCCGGGTTCACCCCAAAGTCACAGAAGAGAGTCTTGATGGTGTGGCACATACAGCAAGTGCTCTTGCTGAAGATAACCACTGGTTTTGCGGATGCGAAGTTTGTCACTCTCTCCATTTCCAGATCAACGATTGAGGAAGTTAAAAAGCTGAGTACGTAGAGATAGCTAGCTAGTACAATGCCAATGAAACAGTCTAGTTAAGCTCGAGAGCAATGTGAAGTAGTAAGGAATATTGTGAAGGGCAGTTGAGGTTTTTGTTGTGAGGTGCTTGACTCCACAAGACTCATATATATAGGGTTAAATTTGAGGTTAATGTTGAATGGATTTGCATTGGCTATCCGTAGCCAAGAGAAAAAGATTTGACAGTGAAGCAAAAGAAGAATGTTCTATTAGATATATGGGTCGGTTTCGAAAATCACTAACTGATTGTTACATGACACAAATAGAAATGTAACACCATAACAAAAGTAATTGCACGATCTCCATAAAGAATCTTTCATACGGAAATAGGGACGTGTCCTTTGTACGGTTGTTTAACATTATCATTGTAGTGACAATATGCAATCTTACACACGCCTTTTTTTAACTTCTATATATCCAAAGTTTTTCTATACATCATAGTGCATTTCGAAGAATTCCCTTAGTATGGAGGCATATGTGCTGAGTTGGAAAAAGAAGTTGGATTTATCCAATTGGGACCTTCCTCTGATTGTATTAAGATTCGCATCCAATCCATCAAAAATGGATAGGCCAGTGAGTGAGAGAGAAGATGGTTAGAGAAAGGACTAGTACAGTATACTCTTGAAACAAACAAATTAAGGACAGGAAAACTTATATTGGATTGAACGAATTTAGCCCTAATTAAGTTCCATTTGCATAATTAATTAGTGGATTGATAGACAATCAAATTATTTATCTCTATTCATTTTTCGTGCTCTTTTCATTTTTCCTTTTTATCGTTCATGATTTGATCTGTCATGTACAGGTTGACTCTTAATTATATATCTTCCAGCTTACAAGCAGGTAGAACCATTTTCATGAGCTTAGTTTGGCCATTACTTTTCCATTTAATAACTTAATTACAATCCCTAATTAATAAACTAAATTTGGATGGCTGTGAAATGAAAATTTATCAAGAATAATAGTACTATAGCATGCATACACCACATTTCTAGCTAGGCGGAAAACTTCATTTGGACAAGAAATCCATTTCTTTCTTTTCTGGGTGCCAATGAGCTAAGCCTCCCCATCGCTTTCGAGCACATAGTTTTTCCCTCGAATTAAAGTGACCGTATATGAAAAGAGGAGACAAATGCCTAGAGGTCCCAACACCATCCTTTCCTTTTTGTTTGTTTTTATATTTTCGCGTCAAGGTTTGCTTTTTTTATACATTTTTTTTCACTTAAATATTTTTGGGGTTAATTTCAGTTAAATTATTTTCTTCATGTAGATATATTTATAAAAATAATTAAGTGATAAACTGTTGAATGATTAAGAGTTGAAAATAAGATTTTTATGTCTAAACCGCTCCCATCATTCCATAAAAAGAATCACTAAAAGGATGAAGTAGTCAAGTAGTAAATGAAATATGGATTGCGTGAACATGAAAATTATATTGCGAGAACATCTGGATAGACGTTTGCTAAACGATGATCTAAGTTCTAAACATATTTTTTATATGGTTCGAAAAACTCTCCTGAAAATTCGAGATGGTATCTCATTCTAGAAAAATGGCATTAACTATATAAAGCTACTTCCCTTTCTTCCTCTTCCACTTTTCGTCATCACCCATTCGAATCTTGGTCGTATAATTTGATTGTAACGTCGAAAGCATACATACCTATGTATACTTACATATATTCTTCAAGATTGATACATAATTTTCAAGCCAAAGGTGTTGCCACTAGAGTTTTTCTTGCTATATATATACATTCATATATATATATATATATATATATATATAAGCATAAGGATACTATACGCATGAGCCATGCATGAAGGGATCAGAAGTACAAGTGAAACGAGCCGGTTAACTTACGGTCAAGTAACCCTACAAGCTGGAGGTGTTTTTTGGGTTTAGCCCTTGGCTACTGAATGGAGCCAGTTATGGGTATATATATATATTAAATGATTTTTCCAACGCAAGAAATATTGTTTTGCTCATGCTAAGTGGAAGATCTAGTGAGGGTTTTCAATTTGGCCCAGCTAATTTGAGTTGTTCTTTGATCTTCAAAAATCGAAACCACAGATTTTTAATCCGTTCGAGAACATTCATATGATGCTATCTTCTATTGTCTACCAAAGTTCAAGCCCAAACACATGGAGAGAAGTAATTTTTTTTTTAAAAAAATCTCTAATTCCCCTGCGGAGTATCAATATTTTGCTTTAATTTTAACAAGGTAAAAAATGTTGAGTTACTCTCTGCACACAAAATCTAACCTTAAACTTTGATTTTTTTTTTTATTTTAAAAAAACTAAAAAACTAAAAAAAAATTCTGAATAAAGTTGTGCATCTAAAACATAGGATCCATTGATCTCAATTAAATATAAAATTTTTACAAATTTATTTAAAACAAAAGATAAATTACAATAACTCCGGAAATATTATAAAATTACAATGATAATAAAAAAATTGAAGATGTTATAAAAACTTTGCTCAAGTTTAAGTGAATATTACAAAAATCTCTCTATTTTATCCAAAATATCATTGATATTTTTGAATCATTTTCTTTAACATTAAGAATATTCTGTATATAAATGAAGATTTTTATAATATTTTCAAACTTTTAAGTAATCATTGTAATTTTATATCACTTCAATACAGTTATTGTAATTACTCTCAATCAAATTAAGGTTGATCATTATAGATGATGATTGCGTATGTATACATGGTGCGTGGAGTACCAAAATATGTATGCACATCATGCATTATTGCATATATATATATATACACACACTTGGCCAGCATATACAGCTAACGTGAGAGAGAGTAAGAGGGGATAAGATCCCCAGGAAGAAATGTTTTGGTAGCGAGTGGAAAAAGAATGTAAACTTTATGCACAAACGATAAAAAAGAAAGGAAAACGCAAGCGATCGCGAGGACGGATCGTGGCATCACACTCACAGATTATGGTTTTTGGGTTGGTAAGGTATAGGCCCTGTGTACAAATTGCATTCTCTTATATATTCCTTTCTGCATAAAAGAGATAAAGTGAAAGGGATAGGAGCATTTTTTATACTCTCTGCCTTTACCGCATGGCCTAGCTAGCTAGCTATCTTTCTTTCTTTCTTTTGTAGATACGAAACAGAAAGAATGCATGCCCCTCTCCATCCAATATCAAAAAGACAAAAATTCTCTCATCACTTTGATTATCGAACAAAATATCAACGCTAACAAGATAAAATATATGATTCATCTTTCTCTTTGGGATTTATTTCACATGTTGATTCTAATCAAAATCATCCTAATTATTCTTACAGAATTTCTGCTTATGGTGGATAATGACTTTTGCTGTGATGGCATCACAGGCCCAATATTTATAGATGAATGATTAATTAATTAACAAGGTGGTCCTCTATGTATTTAACACGTGCATAAAGAAGGAATCTTAGAGGATTTTTTTTCTTCTTCCTCATCATTTTCTTTTCCCATTTTGGTTCAGCTTCATCCATAGTGATGATCATGATTTTGACAAGGAGAAATGTCTATACCTAGCTAGAGTCAACTAAGTCTACCAATTAATAATTAATTTAAAGTTGATAATTGTCAAAATAATTAACCATTTCCATCAAAGAGTTAAATTGTCACGTGAAGTATACAAATTGATTTTATATTCTAACATATCTGCTCAATAAAAAATCTTTTGATATTCCAACTTCCATAACTTAATATTAGATTACTGGATAAAACTTAAACAACTCCACCACTAAACTACTATTTAGCACTTCAAAAAAAAAAAAAAATAAATAAATAAAATAAAAAAAATAAAAATTAGTGTTTGTCTCACATCTTTCGATCAATCACTATTGCAAATGCATGTTATAAAGTAGATCATAAAGACTTTTATCTAATTCTACTCGAATTTATCACTATGTAAGCATAAGAATTAATAGAGAATTTCTTTATTATTATTGAAATAAATAATGCAATAATATATTAACTCGAGCCCATCCAAACATGATTGAATCTTGGGCATCAACACTAACACCTCTAATTAGGATATTATTTCCTAGATTAATGCATGCTTAGGTCTCTAATTGATTTTAAATCCTAAGTTATACATGTATGAGAATTGTTTAGTTAAACCATATTTTCTAAGTCTTTTACTTGTTAGTTAATTAATTTACTATTGATGCATAAACTTAACAACATTAATTTTGCAAATAAAACATTTATTACTAATAAAACAAAAATAACATAAACATACGTAACAAAATAAATATGCACACAAAGCATAGAAAATATGTTCAAGTATTACAAATAGTCCTTTAGGAATATCTTCGAGCATAACATAATCAAACTATTTCAACAATAGTTTCACCACCTCGAAGTAGGTCAATCGGTTCTTCATTACGTCCCATTACCACTATAACACACATTGAATCTAACTCTCTCATCACTTTGGTGAATATAGCCTCAAATACTAGCTAAACTCAATTGATAACGTTCTTAACTAAAATCCATTTCTTCAAGGACATCTAGATAACCTTCTCCCATTTGAATGAAAAACCATAGGTATTTTTGAAATCATCAAACATAACTCGGTGGTCATACTATCACAAACTTCTCTAGCAATACATGATATGCATCCATTAGAATAATGTCACACTAAACCTTATCAACATACCTCTTCTTGATTGAAAATTGCACCAAGCACTTTTTGTTCACATAAATATCTTTAGCTTTTCATAACCATTTAAGAGTATATGGATCAAGGTGATGTATGGTAGTTAACTATAGCTTTTCCACCATCCATAAAACCACCATGTTCTCACAACTACCCCTATCAATAATCAAATCACATATTTTTCCTTATGAAGTGCATCTTGTATGGAAAATATTTCATCTAACCCAATCTTTTTTAAGTGTAATCATACTACTTAATACCCTTCAAAC